GGAAAAACTATAATGTTCTCAAAGGAAATGGTTTGAGTGGTTATTGATAAGTGTTGTTTTTGTTGCTGGGCAGGGTATTCAATTGACCAATTGTTCTCTGAACTGCTAAAATGTTGCTTTAGAATCCCCGAATGGTTTAATTGAAGGATCCAATACATGCGTTGCACATTTGCAGTATGTCCATGCCTTCCTGATGTTCATGGAGATGCTTACAAGTTTTGCTTATTTAAGAATTAAAAGACTGAGACGCCCTTATATGTGGAAGGAAGTAACTCTATCAGTGAGATGTGATGAACCCTTTTTTGTAAGTGCTGCCTGCTCTGTTTTTCCCCGATTCATAAACTCATTTTTGATTCAGTGGTAGCAAACTGCATGAACTGCAAAAGCCCCTTTAAGCTTTAAGCTAAGCAATCTGCTATGTGTAATGTATTGGTGCTTGCAAGTATAGTTGGCTGTTTATCTGGTTCATATTTAAAAATTGTAGTTATCTTGCTGAGAAAATACTTGCTTGAAGATCGTAATAATGTGTATTGGATTGTTGTTGTTGTTTTTTTCTCAGTTTCTCATAGAATTTCATTATTTATTCGTTCACACTCAGGGTAAGTAGAATAGCATTATTCACACGTGGAGATAGAGATAAAAATGACCAACTTCCCTCCTTTTTATGACTAGTTGATTTACAAGGATATACACGTGCACAGTTAGTCGTGTCGTAGAATAGAATACTATTACTTATGATAAGCTTAAGCCATAACTTGTGGCGCCTACCTAATTTAGACACCTCAAAGTTACATTTTTCTTTGTTGATTTAGATGTTTGAATTGCATGAAAATAACATTCTTGAGTTGTTGTGTGAATGGAAATAAATTTTGTTGCATGTGCTAACCATCCCTTGTGGTCAAATATCAAGGGTCCGGTAAAATCCCAAGGGTGACTTATTTTTCTCACACATTGTTTATTTATCTATTTATTTTTGCCTATGTTTAGTTTTAGGTTTGAAGATTTTGTAATTAATTTTAAAATGTAAAGTTAATTTTCGTATATTTGATTATACCCAACTAAAATTGACTGCACATTTGTTTGTTACTTTAAATATATTTAAAGAAAACATAAGGACTGCAACATGGTGATTTTTATCACCAAAAAAGAAGTGGCTCCAGCCGTTCTACAACTGTAATAAAGAACTGTTGTTACAATTGGAGTTTCTACTTGTTGGTTTTGATTGGATGTTGTGGAACATCATATTAAGCTTTGAACAAGTGTATACTTGACTTTAATATAGTACGTATCTTCTCAGCAGAATTGAACAAAAAAATTTTAAATAGTAAAATTTAATAATATGTAGCATTTTTATATTGTATATATCTTTTATTTAATATAAGAGGTTTGTTATATTGACACTGATATTTTAACACCGGATCTCACACCATAATTTTATGTTTCATTTTGACGTGACTCAGTTTCCAATACATATAGAAGTAATAAAAAAAGAAAAAGATGGATTGTATTGAGTACATATATACGGTGTGGGTGTTAAGTTCGTGTCATCATAACATTTCTCTTAATATAAAAAGTTTTTTTTTCTAATATACTAGTTTCTACTAACAAAAAGTAATAATTACCGGAATATTTGGAGTAAAATTGTGGAAAGCTATAGTCAATTTTAAGTTTGAATAAAAATGAGAGGTGTGTTTGGCAGCTGTTAATCAACATAAAATTTTGTTAAATCTCTATGGCATGGATTAATTATAAAATAATTTGAATCCTAGGTTGTTGCCTATAAGCAACATGTATATGACTCGAGTACAATGTCAAAAGAGTAAGGACCGATGTATTATTGATTGTATGTAGTGGAAAATAAGCAAGTGTTATTATATTTTTGCGAACGAATGTGGGTAAAGAAGTTAGTTTATGAGAGTATGATTTTTTTTGAATAATGAAATATAGGTGTACTTATTGAAAAATCTATGGAAATAGTAGACACTGTTGTTAGAAGGAATATTAATTTTACGTGCCAATAAGAAACTAGGCGGACATGTGAAAAGACGAAAAAATCAGACAACTCAGGATTTAAGCTTCGGTATTTTGGAAATGTTAGATCGAGAAATTAGGTGGGGATTATTGTGGTCAAGGAATGGAAGAATGATATTGTGGATATGAAAAGAGTAAGAGATCAAATGATAGCCTTGAAATTTATAGTGAAACAAAACATCTTTAATATCTTTAATGTTATTAGTGCTTACGCACCTTAGGTTGAGTTAGTAGAACACCTTAAGGTAAATTTTGGGAGGATTTTGAATGGAGCATGGTAAGAGGTTTTGAGGGCATTCCAGGGGTTTAGTCTCACGGAGGTAAATGTGGAGGATATATCCATCTTGGAGTTTTCGTCGGTGTTTGATCTTACTATAACTAATACCTGGTTTAGAAAAAGAGATGGACAGTTTATCACATATAAGAGTGAGTTGACATGTTCTTAGATGAATTTCTTTTTTATTAGAAAATCAGATAGAGAATTTGACTATTCAACATAGAATATTAATTATGAATGTAAGAATCAAGAGGAAAAAAAAAGAGAAAAAGTCATATGGAATTTCCATATATCAAGTGGTGACATTTGAAAGGTTAAAAATAAGGAAATTTCCAACACAAAATTTTAGAGGGAGAGTTTGAACAACCACAAAAAAGTGTAAATGATATGTGGAATAAGATAGTCCAAGAGATTTAAAAAATAGCTAAAGAGATGTTGGAAGAATCAAGAGGATTCGGACCCAGGGGAAAGGAATCACAGTGGTGAAATGAAAATGTTTAGAGTAAAGTTAGAGTAAAAAGGATTGTTTTAAATGGTCTAGGTGTAAAAATACCGAAACTTGAGAAAAGTATAAGAAAGTTAAGAACGAGATTAAGAAGGCGGTGAGTGAAACAAAAATTCAAACTTTTGAAGGATTAAACCAACCTTTAGGTATCAAGACGGGAGAAAAATTAATATATATGCTTGCTAAGGAAAGAGAAAGAAATACAAGATATTTGAATCAAGTGAAATGTGTCAAATACAAAGAAGACAAAGTCTCGATTAAGGAAAATAATATAAAAGATAGGTGAAAGACATATTTCTACAATTTATTTAATGAATGATATGGTATCTCATTGGATTCTAGGAGGCTCGACTTAAGAAAAGAGGATCAAAACTATAATTAATATCGTTGGATTAAAAAATAATAGTAAAAGAAGCATTGAAAATGACGAGTAACAATAAGGCAGTTGAGGAAGAGAACAAACCTATTTAAGTGTGGATTTTTTTTAGCAATAAAGACATTAAGTGACTCACCAAACTCTTTAACAAAATTATGAGGTAAAAGCAAATGTTAGATGAACGAAGAAGAATCACTTTACTTCTAATATATAATAACAATGAGGATATACATAATTGTGAAAATTATAGGGGGAATAAACTTATGAATCATACCATGAAGTTATGTGAAAGAGTAATTGAACAGAAACTAAGAAAGGAGACTAAATTCATAGAGAATCAATTTGATCTTATGCTCGGGAGGTGCACAACACAAATCATATATCTATTACGATGTATTATGAAGAAATATTGAATGAACCAACAATATTTGCATTTAATTTTTATTGACTCGGAGAAGGTGTATGAAATAGTGCCTAAAGAAATTCTTTGAAAATCCCTAGAGAAGAAAGAGGTTATAATTGAATATATTCAAGCTATCTAAGATATGTATGAACAACTATCGGTTAGTGTGTGGACACAGGGTGGAGATACTAATGATTTATCAATTACGATAGGTTTGCATCAAGGTTCAACCCTAAATCCCTATCTCTTCACTTTAATTTTGGATGTATTCACGAAACACAACCAAGAGCTAGCATCAAGATGCATGCTTTTTGCAAATGATATATTCCTACTTGGATAGTCGAAAAAGAATTCAAATGAGAAATCAAAGATTTGAAGACAAGCTTTAAAAACACATAACTTTTACTTAAGTAGAAGTAAGACATAGTATATGAAATGCAAGTTCAAGAAAGAGAAAAACATTTCTAATATAAATGTGAAAGGTTGAGACCATATCATCCCACAAGTAACACAGTTTAAATATCTTAGGCCCATAATACCAAATGATTAAGAAATAAAATGAGATATAAACCATCGAATTCAAGTTGGATGGCTGAAGGAGGATTCAAGGATTTGATGTAACATAAATATACCGCTCAAGATGAAGGAAATTTTTTTATTAGATTGCAGTAAGACTTGCAATGTTGTACGAGACAAAATGTTGGACGATTAAGAATCTAACATAAAATTAAAGTAAGTGTAACAAAGATGAAAATGTTATCTTAAATGTATGGTAAGATTACACATGATAAAATTAAAAATGATAATATTAAAAAGTGTTGGAGTATCACTTATACTAAAATAAATGATGAAATTAAATAGATTTATGTGACTTTGAAATATAGACATAAAAATATAATAATATAGGAAGACCTAAAGAAATTATTAAGAGAAAGATATAAAAATTAACGATTTTGATAGAACATGGTCATGAAAAAAAATTATGAAAAATTGATCTATCTAGCCATTCGTTTAATGGATAAAATTTAGTTGTTGCAAGTAAATTTGTGAATCATTATACTTTAATTTTCCAATATTATGTTTGTTGGTCGAAACAAGGAGCTATTATATTAAATATTTTGTGTGACCGATGGAGTCCCACATTTTTGAGTTTGACCAAACCTTTTCTACATATGCCACCTTTCTTGACATAATCAAAATGTATCCAAATATTTTATACTATACAAATTCTGGTATCATCAGCCCTTATTACTTACGAATTGAATAATTAGTCTCACCCTCAATACTTAGTCAACAATCCAAAATACTACTATATATAAAGAGTCCATCTTGATTATATTATCATCACATACAAAACATCAAATTCCAACCAACCCTTAGTTTCAAGTTCAATCTAATCATCAATCTCATGGAGAAAAATCTTAAGCTGAAGAACAAAATCTTGAAGATATTACCAAAAACAGTCTCAGCTATCACTTTAACATTCCAAAACCATCCATTCAGTCCTAGTAAGGATCACAAATCCAAACCTCGCGGTGGCGTCAAGGGCTTTTCAGGTCCAATCGTAACCGTAAAGCCTAAAAATGTTGGAAATGATTATGAAGAACCAACCTCACCAAAAATATCATGCATGGGACAAATCAAACACAAGAAGAACAAGAACAAAAAAGCCAAAGACATAGAGGTGAAGAAACGTGTGACCACTTTTCAAAAAATGTTGTTTCATGTCGGGAAAACAAAACCAGATGAGAGAAGAAAATCAGATGCATGTGTGGCTCTTGAGGAAAGAACAAGAACAACACATAATGTGAGTCAAATGAAACGGTTTGCAAGTGGACGTGGAACTTTTGATAATTTTGATTGGAAGGCTCATGTAGGAGAAGAAGAAATAAATAATTATTATTCAGATGAAGAGAGAATAGAGAGTGATGATGAAGATGAAGAGTTTATGATTCCATTTTCTGCACCTATTTTGGTTGGTGGTGGTGGTGGTGGTGATCATGGACTTGATTTGAAGCCAAGAAAAGAAATTAATCTATGGAAGAGAAGGACCATGGCTCCACCTAGACCTCTTCAATTGGATCCAGTAAATTAGACCAAATTGATTCTTAATTTGCTCATAAAACGAAGACTTGTTCTATTGATTATGTTATTTATGTTCATTTGATTTAATTTATTAGAACATTTTGTACAGAACTATTGCAGCAGATTTAGGCACAAACAATTTTTTTTAAAGGAGGTACAAATGTATGTAATTGTGGACATTTATTGTGTTGATAATTTTTTTAGTAAATATTAAAATGTTTGAGATGTGTGAGATTAACGTTGTTGTTCGCAACCAAAATCAAACGACTAATCCTTCTAGCAAGGTGGCTTTAAGAAACAAACAGAAAAACGACTAACCCTCTTAGGCAAGGATGTCTGTCTTTAAGAAGCAAACAAAAAGAGTCAAAATGTTTTGGCAAGGAATCTATAGAAAACACGAACTCAGTGCCCAATCAAAGACAAGCAGCTTTCCACAGTTCTTCCGCTACCAAACAGAACATCAAAAAGTGGCCGTGATCTTCATCGATTGTGAAACAGTGAGGATAAACCAACTTGTGCGAATTTGTTAAAATATTTTTTACACACTAATTCAAGTCACTAACAACGCGACTACAATTCTCCGAGTATCCCGAGCACGCACTTGTTGAATTTAAGATTTTTGAACACGATTCACCGTCTTGCGCTACTCCTTTACAAGGAAACCACCTTGTCTCAAGGCCTTTACTCGATCGAATCCATACGTGATCTTGTCCAAAACCTTCAAATTCCAATGATCTTGGAGGAAAACTCCACCTTAATTTTCTTATTTGATACACACAAAGATCATTCTCGGTTACACCAACATAATTGGACGTTATCAACCCTAATCTAAATGGTCATCTAATCGAAAAATGATTATGTGTAGTTTAATGGTGTATATGCATAGAAGAAAGGTTGAAGATAATGAAAATGTTTTGTAATCTTGTTTCGTTTAGGCAATTCACTAGTACCTTGTTAGAAAAAAGTGCATATATATATATATATATATATATATATATATATATATATATATATAATAATGAGTAAAATGAATGCAGATTGTTGGAGCAAAAGTAAGATTTGTAAGGTGGAAAGTCGTATGTGTCGGCCTATCAAAGCAATAGGTCCACCTATTAAGGTAATCAGACCGATCTATGAAGGTCACAGGTCGATCTGTGAAGGTTATGTGTCGCCTATGTGCCGAATTGAGTGAGGCGGCCTATGGACAAAGGCTACAACCTTTAATATTGATCCATGGAAGCCGACCTGAAATTCTATGTGCCGACCTATACTGATTCTGAAACTCGTATAGGTCAGCCTATTTATGCATGTGCCGACCTGAAATGACTTAGCAACTCAAAAACATGATTTTCAATGCAATTTTGATGTAAGATCCTTTTTTTTTAAAACTCACTTGAATGCTTCCTAATATTAAGATGTTCATCTAGAATGAGAGGATATCGTCTAATATACATAACGCTATACTTTTCTAGTTTTGAAATCACTCAAAATCCAAAAGCACTCACACAACAACCTCTGAATCGATGTCTCAAAATCATAACCTTTATCAGAATAATCAATATGCCAATCATAACAAGATTTTACCAAAAATCCCTCTAGGTGCAGCCACCACACAAATGAGCCAGCCTGATTATGGATTAGCGTAACATCCTACAAAATACAATTGAGATCGTGTAATTGTTTCATCACTGAAACAAAAGCAGTCTCGGTTGAAATATTCAAGTTCCATACCCAATTTTGTTCATTCTAGAAACCTTTCATAAATAACATTTTTAGGCTGGAACTCTATGCACTCACATAAGTTCGAGAAAACTCTCTCAAGCTTATCCTTACACAACCACCCTGACTCCCAAATGCTCAACGTCTTAGCGTTACCTAATTTGGCTCTAAAACAATCTGATATGTTAGAATTAGAATCAGAAAGATTAAGACCAAGTAAGTTTGAATCCCTCCACCATAAAGAGTGCTTCTTGCTCGTATTATTAAAGGTCCCATCACAAACCGTAATTTGAATCTCCCCATACCGGAAGGATAAAAGTCCATGCTAAATCGCCTATTTTTCTTTTAAAAATATCCATAACCACTTACACAAAGGAACTTGATTAAAACCCTCATAGTGTTTAATACCGAGACCACCTTGATTTTTATCTCGAAACACTTTCTTCTAACTTAACCAAGAAATATTCCTTCTCCTATCACCCACATCCCACAAAAAATTCCTCTGCACCTTAATAATTTCTTTTTATGACTACCTTAGGAGTCTTATAAAAGAAAAAGAAATGAATAGGCAAGTTATTAAGAACCGAATTTAACAAAGTAACTTTCCCTCCAATAGATAACTTCTTGCTTCTCCACGAAGAAAGCTTCCTATAGAACTTGATTAAAATGGATTTCTAAACCGATTTTCTTCTAGGATTTACACCAATAGGAATACCCAATAACAAGAAAGGGAAACTTCCTATTTCGTAAGACAAAAAGATAGAACCTGCATGGACAAAATCCTCATCAAAATTAATCCCAAAAAGCTTGATTTTGTGAAAGTTGACACATAGCCCAGACACCAAATTGAACCCGAAACCCTTTAAAACTCCACAAAATGGACCAACTCCCTTCTCGTACAACAACGTATCATCCGCAAACTAAAGGATCTCAAAATGAATGTCTTCGTTAAATCTGAAAGGTGGGAAATCTTCCACTGAAATCACATTATTTACTAAAATATTTAGAACTTCTACAGCCAAAAGGAATAAAAAAGGTTACAGAGGGTCCCCTTGTCTCAAACCTCTACTTAGTTCAAAATCTTTAGTCGAATTCCCATTTACCTGAATAGAAAAACTACTTGAAAAAACACTCCCCTCCATCCACCTCATCCACCTTTGACCGAAACCCATTTGACCCATCACACTTCTAAGGTATTTCCAAGAAAGGCTATTGTAAACTTTTTAAAAATCTACCTTAATAAGCAAGCAGCCTCTTCTATCTCTTTTAGATAAATCCACAATTTCATTAATTACTAGGACACCATCACACATTTGTCTTTTTTTTTTGCATAAACACATATTGATTCCTAGCAATGAATGAAAAAATAAATCTTCTAAGCCTTGACGCCAAAAATTTATCCATTATCCTACACAAGCTTGGCACCAAATATATTGGCTTAAAATCTCAAACTTCTTGAGCATTGTCTACCTTTCTAATGAAAGTAAAAAAACTAGCGATGATTGCTTTAAAAATAATACCAATAGAATGTAATTCATTCAAGAAAGACACCAAATCTTCTTTGATTTTATTCCAACAAGTTTTGAAAAAACCCATGTTGAAGCCATCTGAACCTGGACTTTTGTCTCCCTCACTCGGCCATATTGTCTCCTTAATTTCTTCTACATAAAAAAGGATCTTCCAAACTAACAACCTCTTTACTACTAAGATGGTTGAAACTCACTCCCTCTAACTTAGGTCTTTGAAACCAAGGTTCTTTAAGCCTTTCAACAAAATGATCTTTAATTTCGGATTTAATCTCATCCGCATGCGAGATCAAGCCTTTAAAAGTCTTCAAAATCACAATTATGTTTCTTTGATACCTATGATATATAAAGGAACAAAAAAACCTTGAACTTGCATCACCATCATGAATCCACCTGAATCTGGATTTTTTCCACAACATACTCTGCTTGAGATTCAAATTACCCCAAACCTTATTCAAGGCTTCATGTCTCTTATCATCTAGATTATCCAAATACAAGTTCATTGATTATGCTGCTTCCAAATCTAACATATTAAGCTCCTCGATGGAATTTTCTACTTCCAATTTAAATTTACCAAAAGTTTCCACATTCCACCTTCTTAAGTTGTCTCTTAACAATTTGAGCTTCTCTTTCATCACAAACACACATTTACCATGAACCACTTTAGATCTCCACACTTTCTCAAACAGAACAAAACCAGGATGGTCAAATCAATCATTAAACACCTTGAATAACTTAGGACCCAAGAAGATTTATTGGCAAGAATCCAAATTGGAACATGATCATACACAACTCTCTCCCACCATTTGACCGAAGACCTTCCAATTTGAAATTATATGTTCAAATAGGATAAGCCTATCTAACTTACTCATAAAATTACCATTATATTTGAACCAGGTAAATCTATTCCCCACCGCCAAAACATCAACCAACTCTAAATTATCAATAAATTGTTGGAATTCATCAATATCATGCCAATTAACATGAGTACCCTCCCCTTTTATTTCTGCTTGATCCTTAATCATATTGAAGTCCCGTCCCACACACCAGTCTCCCACAATAGAGTTTCTTTTGAAAGTAAAAAACTCACACCATAACTTCCTCTTATTCACCAACATACAAAAATAATATATGTTTACGATGTAATAACGTTTATCTTCCCAATTAACGCAAATTCCGAAAAAACCTTCTCCTCTAAAGCTATAGTTTAGAGAAAACATAAATAGTTTCCAAAGTATCAACATGCGTCTTGACCTGCCTTCCGAGCACTTCGCAAACCATTCCACCTGATCGCTACCCCACAACGATGAAATCCACAATGCCTCTTATGAATTTATATTTGATTCCTGAATCAAATAGACATCCTTGTTTCTTTCCATGATAAGATTTCACAAAACTCTACTCTTAACAGGGTTGCCACATCCAATGAGATTGAACGAAAAGATATTCATTGAGCAACCTGTGTTTTTCCATCTCTTTATCCTTCAATTCCAAAAGGATGAATTTTCTGAATATAAACCTCCTCATCTTTTGAACCTTGAATTCCAAAATATTGAGCCTTCTTCCAAGTAGATGTTGCGACATCCCCAAATTTTGTTGCCAAAAATCTAGAATTGCATGTTATAATATCCGAGTCAGACATAGAGTCACAATACAACCGATGCCTCTAAAAAAACCTACACGTAAAGAATCATCTTGAATAATTACCACTTTGGATTCACGCGTCCCCTTCTTCTTATTACACACAAACGTTGGTCTCCAATGA